TCCAGTCCCCTATTTTTTACCTTAGTGATCTGTTTGAGTTAGTATTCATTTGCCTTTACTCATTTTCTGTTACTATCTCTTTATTTTTAAATTTGTAATTCAATTATACCTAACAAGTTAGTGAATGTCCGTTTTGGATCCCTTTTAGATGTAAGCTGTTTGATCATTGCTCATTTTCCTTTACTCATTTTCTTTTTCTCTCTCTTCTTTGTTTGTACATCAATTAGACCTAACAAGAAAATGAATGTCCCTTTTTGGTCACTTTTCGATGTAAGCTGTTTGAGTCATTTTTCTTTTTCCATTTCCTATTTCTATTCTTTTTTATTTGTACATCAATTAGACCTAACAGTGAATGTTCCTTTTGGGTCCCATTTAGATCTAAGTGGTGTGTTAATGCTTTTATTTGAGATTCTGATATTGCAATATATCAATCTCTAATCAAAGCTAAGATTTTGATTCCTTCTATACTAGCACGACCTAAAAAGTAGCGTGTTTTATTTTTCTTCCAATTATTCAGTCGGTGTGTAGATGTTGTTCAGATGGGTCAATTGTATCTTGCTAACAACTTTAGTTTTTCAGCTATACACCTGGCGAGAGGAAATCACGAAAGCAAGAGCATGAACAAAATATATGGGTTTGAGGGCGAGGTCAGATCCAAGTTAAGTGAAATATTTGTGGAACTCTTTGCAGAAGTGTTCTGTTGCTTACCTTTGGCCCATGTCATAAATGAGAAAGTCTTTGTAGTACATGGAGGTCTTTTTAGTGTTGATGGCGTGAAGCTCTCTGATATTAGAGCAATTGATCGGTTTTGTGAGCCCCCAGAAGAGGGTAAGTTCTGATGCAAGTAGAGAATTGTACATGTATGATGTCCTTTCAATATGCTATATCTATACTAATTATTCTGCTTTAAGCTTCTTAATGCTCCATTAATCGTCTGATAAACTCTTCAAACAAAGCTCGGAAAAACTATTCATGCAAGTTTGTGTATCAGAACTACCATTCTCATTTGCTCGGTAGTTATCATCATTACACATTATTTCTGCAAGCCACTTTCTTGATACATGCTAATAAATACTTTTGAGTCCAGACACGACTATTATTTTGAAATAAAGGCAACTATTCTGGTCTTTATCGATGCTTTTGTTGGCCAAACAAATTGAAACTTTCTGCATTTCTGCTTGATCTCAGTTAGTATTAATGTATTGACTTACTTCTTTGATAAGTCATCATCAGTTTTCTGACTTATTAAATATATGTTGCTTATTTCTTTTTTACCTTGGTCGTACATAATAAACATCACCAAGTTGTTTAGGACCTTAGGTTTCATTTGATCTCTTTCAGGGTTAATGTGTGAATTGTTGTGGAGTGATCCACAACCTCAGCCTGGTAGAGGACCTAGTAAACGAGGTGTTGGTCTTTCTTTCGGGGGAGACGTAACTAAAAGATTCTTGCAGGAAAATAATCTAGGTACTAATCTTTTTCTTTCTCCCTTATTCTGTTGTTTGACCATGTAGAGAATTGACATTTCACTGTCTATTTTTATTCACTTAATGGATTTTAGCACAAATATTTGATGTTGACATGTGTGGGTGCTTGCAGATTTAGTGGTGCGATCTCATGAAGTGAAGGATGAAGGTTATGAGATTGAGCATGACGGCAAACTCATAACGGTGTTTTCCGCTCCCAATTATTGTGACCAGGTAATTTGTCTCTATGTATTCCCCTCTCAAGAGTTTATTTGAGCTCATCCTACTTTAGTTCAATTAAAATCTCAATTTGCAAGTCAAAAGAACACCTTTGCCTCAAAAGTCCCTCTAGGTTGAAATGTAGCTCTTCATCAAAATCACTGCAGAGTTTTCGGTGTGTATAGATCTTGTATATCTGTGATTTGTCGGCACTGTTGTTAAAGGCGTGCTGAAGCGAGGCTCAATACTTGTTGAGCGATTCGCCTCGCCTCGCCTCAATGTCGTCATCAAGGTTCTACGACATGCTTTTCCTTGCGAATGAGCCTCTTCCGAAGAGGCGAGACAGTTGGCATTTCACTTTATCGTAATCTTTTTGTTCATATATTTGTCATTCATGCTATAACTATTAGTCTTGGACTATATATATATATATATATATTGTTTCTCCCTTTGTGCTTTTTCTTCATTAAAGTTTATGCTTTATTTGAGCTTGAAGTCCCAACGGATCTTAGAGGTTTTTTGCTTTTAATGACACTGTTTATCGGTCAAGTTTAGTATTGACACAACTTGTAGTCCGTTGCTTCATTTAGTATTTTAAAATGATGGGAAATAATGACTTTCTGCTTCAAGGTAGATTTGGAATTTGTTAGATGTTGACTTTGTCAGTAACTTCGATAGATGGTGTTGTGGACATATTTGCACAGATGGCGTGGTGTCCAGTTTCATTGCAAGTCTTGTTTCTTAGCATCTAATATATTTTCAAGTACATAAACTGATTGCAATATGTACAGATATAGTCATAATATTTGCTACTTTTTTGTGACAATTTACGTGGACAAGTCAGTTTTATAGTAACTGGAACTGTGTTATCTATACATTTGTATTCCTGTAGTAGAGAAGGATCTTGTAATAATTTCTTTGTATGACTAATACACTGTTATATCCTATATGAAGTTTCTTTGATGTGAATGGAAATGTTTTATTCAATATCCTCAAATGCACTTCGCTGGTTGCAGATGGGTAACAAGGGTGCTTTTATACGATTTGAGGCTCCCGATATGAAGCCAAATATTGTGACATTTTCAGCAGTGGTTAGTGACTTTTATCTTGAAATGACCTTTTACTCCTTGATAATTAACACTTTTATTCTCATCTCCTTTAATGGGTTGCCTCATGAGTTGTTTTTACCATGTTATCATCATAACACTGTAGATTAACTCTTGTCATCTTCATTGCGTTGCCTCGTATGCAGCCACATCCTGATGTCAAACCAATGGCATATGCCAACAACTTCCTTCGCATGTTTTCTTAAAAACTCTGGAACCTAACGTTCAGTATTACAATCGATGCGACCTTTTGTCTGACTGACCAAGAGCATACACATCAGGAGGCAAAAGAGCTAGTACTTACAGCCAATTAGCTGCAGTGTCATTATTCGGACAACTTCCTGACTTGCCCGCAGCATGTGAGGATCCTCACCTCCTTTGTTTTGATTAAGGCGTAAACACTTTCTCTACGATAACAATGTCGTGTGGTGGATTGTCCTCTGTATTATTTATATTCCTCTTTGTAAGATTGTTACACTTCTCATTTCTTTTAGAATGTTCAAATTGGGAAAAGCTTTGATAAGTCGAATTTTGGTTTTTTCTATTTTCTTAGTTAAAATAGTCTATAATTTTTTCCCCACCCAATCAGCCAAGTGTTACTGTTACGATGTCTATTTTACCATTGGATTGTCGTTTGTCTGTGCCTGTGGCCAGATTACTGGTGTTTCCTACTGATTTTGTTTCGTTATTAATAATGCTTAACAGCTTCTAATGAGTCGATGCAAATCCTATCAATTTGTAAAGTTTGTACCATTTAAACGTAAAACTTATGGGTCATTCCGTAGGATTTACAAAAATAGTGTTAAAAGTTATAATTAGTTATGTTTATATTTCTTACGAAGTGATTTATATAATATATATATATATGTGTGTGGGGAAAAGTTTTGAGCAGCTACTTTGTCTTTAATCATGCTAATGCGTACATTAAAATTTTTGCTTTACTAATAACATGAATTCTCAGGCATTAGGTATTATACATACTTTAACAGTAAATAAGGTGTATGTACATAGGTTGAAAACGTATCTTGTTTGGTACCATTCTATTAGGTAGTATGCTATACATAGAAAAATCATGGTAGCAAAGATTGATGTTGTAAGCAAAAAGTTACTTTTAAAAATTATATAATGCATGTGAAATAATTACGAGGTAAATGGTGAAATTACTCGCAAATTCAACACGATACATAATTTTTGTACTCAACTAAGTCTAGTGCTTTTGGAAATTTACACAAATTTCATAATGTTAGAGTTAATTATAGTTTATTCTTACTCTTTTTCAAATTACAAAAAATTCTTAAATTTGATGGAATCTGGATCCATCCTTAAACGCCCCGATACATCACGTTTCAATTTCAAATACATCCTTCAATGTCCTCATACATCGCGTCTCAATTTCGTATACATCATTCAACGTCTCGATATATCAAGTAAAGTAATTCGACCAATATATCCAAAAATAGAAGAGTATGAATTTTTGCAAATGATAGAAAATTTTTGAGAATATAGTAAAGTACATAAATTGTGTATTTAGATAATTTTTCCTCATTAAAATAGAGAAAATTTTATACATGACAAACTTATTTGATGAAATAACATTAAATGTGTATTGTTTATATAATTACATTCCATTGGGTATAGTTTAGTTTGTTAGATAGCTTTAATTTTATATAGACCATTTTTTTTTTATAATTTATACAAATTCTTTTTTACGTGAATAGTATTGAATCCTCATTTTGATTATTTCATGTCTTTAAAGATGTTGACAATCCAGTATTGCTTTTTAACAAATTTTTAACCAAACTAAGTTATTATATAAAACAATTTACCTAAGTAATACATTTTTCTAAAATTTTACAAAACTAGTATAAATGTATTTCACGGTAACGTTTTAGGGTATATTTTATTTTTTAAAAGTTGATGGCGTCAGATTGATATATGTTACTCACAGTAACATTTTACTCCTAAAACGTTACTCACAGTTGGGTTAAAACTTGGCTTTTTAACTATTATTACATGTTTTTATTTCATGATCTAGTCGTAGCTTATTTGTATATTTATTGCTTCAATAACTGCCTTATCAGTAAATTTGTATAGTTATTGAAGTCATAATTGTATATTTACTTGGGCTTGGGCCAATAACCCAACCCAGGCCCAATTTTATGACGTGCCATCTAACAGTGCAACGCATAATAAGCAGTTAAGCACAAAACTGTTGGTCTCTTATAGCTTCCACGTTTCACCATTTTTCTTCATGGCTTCGAAGCTCGTTTTGAACCGACTGAGATCTCTCTGTAGAGTCTCTCAACTCAGCGACGTCCGTTTTGATAAACTCAGAGACCCGGTTTCCATTTTCTCCACCTCACAAAATCAGGTAACATGGCGATCTTATTCCGAAGCTTCTCAGCCAACTCCGATAAATCCTCCACCACCACCTCCTCCATCCCCTAATACTTCTACAACAACTTCAAGTTCTCTCAATGAATTTGAACTTGCCAAATTCTCTGCCATTGCCGAAACCTGGTATTTAATTTTCAAAGTTTCCGCAATTTTTTTTTTGGTATTGGAATGAATGGGCTCAAATGGAGTTGAAATGGTTATTGAGGATTCATATAATCGACCTGAACTACTTTGAAATTGAGGCGTAGATACCGATATATATATATATTTAAAAATGTAGTTTTTTCATTGTATTGACATGAGATGAACTAGTATAATTTTTGAATGTCTAAAAGTTTTAAATTTTAAACATATTTCCAATTTAGCTTTGAAATTAGTCATATTAACTCTGTAAGGAAAAATGTCCCATAAATAATGACTGAGGGGGAGTTTTGGAATTGCAATTTTGAATCTTTTTCATTTGATTTGCTTTTCCACTTTGATATACTGAATTCAATTGTGCGCCTGTGCTAAATCAGGTGGGATGCAGAAGGACCCTTTAAGCCATTACATCTGATGAACCCTACAAGACTTGCTTTTATTAGGTCCACTCTTTGTCGGCACTTCAGGTAGTATTGAGGATGTAATGTCTGAAAGATTAGATTGCATATAAAGAGTTATCTCATATTTCATTTAGTACTTGTTGGCGTTCTCTATTTTTAGGACCAATGTTTGATGCTTGTATAATAATGTTGGAGTTGAAGAGATTATGTCGCTTGTGTTAGAGAAGGATTTAGCTAGATTTGTTGTTCATATTCTTCTTTTCGCGAACTATACTTATATTTGCTCTTATGAGGGAATTTCATGATTTGAATGGACATTCTTTTGGCCTTTGCTGGTCTGAGACTAGAGGTGGTTGTTAGGAAAGGAATTAATAGTACAGTATGGGAGAAAAGGGGAAAGGAAATGTAATATGAATAGGAGCTTATAAATAGCACTATTGGATAGAGAAGGTAATGGATAAGCAAAAGGAGAGTATAGCTGAGAAAGGATCCAAATTTCCCTAGGAGCTCCACCTTATTTTCACTCTTCTTGCATCTCTGGAGGCTAAAACTTTTGTATTGTATCAGAAAGGATCCAAATTGCACTAGACCTTTTGAAGGACTGAAGTTTGTTGATGTTGGTTGTGGAGGCGGAATTTTATCTGAGGTATACATTTGTCAAGCTTAATATTCTATTGGAGTCACCTTTACCTTTGCATATGGCAGAATATTTTTCTCCTGTGATTACCATTATTAGCCTAGTATTTTTCTAAGTGCTATTGTTAGCTTAGTTAGACTTAGACAATGTCTTTGTCACTCAATGAAGTGAATATTTATATTAAGCATGCGGCATATAGTCACACACATCTCATTTTTACTCTTAATTCAGCCTTTGGCTCGAATGGGAGCTACGGTCACGGGAGTTGATGCTGTGGACAAAAATATTAAGATTGCTCGCCTTCATGCGGTATGTTTACTTGAATGTTTCCAGGATGCACCATTAAACTGCTGTTTTTTTTTTTGCTTGTCTGGTTAATGTACAGTTTAAGGATCTTCCCATACCTGAGATATCATGAGTATTGGCATCAAAATTTACTAGTCTTATATTGATTCGGAGTTTATTGGTTCCTCACCTTGAGGGACACATACAATTTTGCTTCGTCAAATTATAGTTCATTTGAAGGTCACAGTGCTTATGATGGAAGAAAAGTTAAAAATTTAGAAGGGTTTTGAACTGATAACTTGAATGTTCATTGCCTAATTATAGTTAGTCATACTGACAACAAGTGCAAGAAAAAATTCATACGATGTTTATTCATCTTGGTTCAAATCCTACTTAGAGGTCCACTAGAGATAAAAATATGTTGAAGAAACAAGATCTTTCTTTTGATTCCTTTTAGGCAATTTGAAAATTAAAGAAATGGTCAAAGCCTAGGCATCATCGGGTGGAGATGAATCAATAGATTGGGGTTCATTAGGACCAGTGTCTTGTGCTTCCAGGATAGAAATCCTGTTGTTAGTCTCACAGCCGATGTTGTACATTACTACACATTAGAAGGTCCATGGGTTGGCAAGTTACCTATTTAGTAAAGATAGAACTAGACGTTTTGTATAGATTCTGTTATATTTTAAAGAAAATGGCACAGCTCTTTTTGCCTCTTCCACTGTATGAGTTTTCCTTTTTGCACAAACTGGGAACAAGCCAGATAGTTCCTTTATGCTATTGTTTCCCTGCACTCATATATGCTGTGATGTTCTGGAGCTTCACCGACAAAATTTGCACCAAGGCGTTCCCATGGTTGATATACTAAAACCAAAAGGGTGTAAAGTTAAATCATGTTCAAAAGATCGCATTTAAGTTGCAAAAATACCTAATTTTAGTCCATGTGGCTGTGTTGTCTTGGTATTCAATATAATATGTGTAGGATATTAACTCCTGGTATATGTATTCAACCAATATTATTGACTTCCTTAATTTTTTTTATCCAAAAAAATATTTTCAGTATATCCTTATATATATAATATATGTGCTTGTCCTTCCAACAGCCTAAGCAAAACTCTTGAGCCTGTGTCAAAATTTTCAAGGACTATTGTGTCTTTATGCAACAACAGAAGTTCTAGAACCTACTAGAGCATATTCTCTAAAATAATGTTGTTGATGAAGTAGTTGAAGCAATTTCGTAGAACTAATATACTTTCATTATATACAATGGTAGGATTAGCACATATCTCAGCAATAGATTTGCTGTTTGTTAAGCTAGAGTGCTATTTTAAACAGATAGTTTTTGAATTGTGACAGTCAAACCCGTATACATTCTATATGGTGGATGCTTATGAATGCTGATATTTCTTTCAGGATTTGGATCCACAAACTTCTTCAATTGAATATCGGTGCACAACAGCTGGTACATGCCATACTTGTTTGATGAGAATTTAGTCCAAATATTGGTGACTTCTATATGTGCATGTTAATCTTTCATCTCGATGTACAATGAACAGACATTATCTTTTCTTTTTTATCATGTTGGTGCCTTCTTTAGTAAAGAATAGGAAAACGAGTCTGCATAACATCGGTTTTTGTTATGAATCATGTTAATGATCAAGCACTGGTTTAATCATGCTCAACTTATCAAATAGAAATGAATTTTTGGCATCTTAGCAAAGCCTCACTTTCTTTCCAAAATAGTTGAAGTGACAGATGACCAACTTGTTGTATGTTATTGCAATCTCCATTTGCAATTTTTATTTGTTGTAGTTCCAATTTAAGCTGCAATAGTGTGAAATTACTGCCGTTTAGTTGCATGAACCATAACAGAGACTCCTAGGGTAATTCATGGTCAATTATTATCACTGGTTAACCTCCTCCTCCTTTATGGAGAGTATGGAAGGTGGGTAATTGGTCATGATTGCATACTAATTAGTTGCAGCTTCATGATAATTCAGCTTTGTAGTTGTTATAACCCCTAATTTCCGTTTTCACTCAACTGTGTGGTTGGTTATTTTCTCGCTGTGAAAACTTAGCTGAATTATCATGTGTTCAATGATTGGAACTGTTTTTGGACTTGCAAAAATATCAGTGTGTGAGATTCCTGGTGAAAAAAAAGATATGTGCTTTGATGATTTTGTGGTGAACTTAGTTGCTTCTGTGTCTGTGATTTAGATTCTTTAGACTCTTTTCTTTGTAGTTATGTCCTCTTTCCTGGAAAAAAAACATATCCATCTCATTTTATAGTAGAAAAAAGACCTTTTTCAAGACAACTTGTGCCTAATTAAGTTACATACCAGCTACTTAAAATGTTAAAGGAAATCATGAATCAAGCTCAAGTGTTTTAGTTATATGGAGATTAGTCTATGTCACAAGGACATGGAATTTTTAATGATTTTGTTCTTGTTTATGTTGTTACGTACTTTTCAGCTATGGTGTATAACAATTTTAGCTATTGACACATCTGTTGATTTGAAGAAAAACGAATTCTCTTGTTTTATTTAAAATCTCAATTTAGTTGAATATCAAAGATTGTTCTTCGAAGAATGACCCTATTGAATGTTATGTCGACAGAAAGCCTGGTTGAAGAACAGAGACAATTCGATGCTGTGATTGCGCTAGAGGTATGACTTAATAAGTGATAAGCTAACTTTGTTCAAAGATTTATTATCTTCAGTACAATCCATCTGTTTTAGTAGATTGTACTTATATCATTTGTACCTTTTGCTTTGCAAAACTTCCACTATTTATTTGAAGTTAACATAGTACATTGTATAAAAGGCTTGGTCCTTTAAGCAGTTCTATGCTTTTATAGCTTTGTTGCACTTGCTCAAGTCTAATAACTGGCACCCAGGGGTGTGGTCTAGAGGTCAATGGAGTGGGTGAAAACCTTGGAGAGTAGGAGTCAAATCCTAACAAATACCACAATGCTAGGTGATTTCTTTCTATTTGCTGAAGCCTTTGTGGGCAGAGTTACCTGATTCATGTGCTGGTGAAAGGTTGCAGGTACCCGTTGGAATAATCTAGGTCCTCTTGTAAAAGGTAGCAGGTATCTGTTAGAAAAGTCAAGGTCCGCGCAAGCTTACCTGACCATCTTTTAGAAAGTCTAGTAATTGGAGGCTTTTAGAGCTCTCACAGGTCTGTTACACAGGGACAGATACTGACACAGATGGAGGGATGTATGTGATATGATCTCTTCTAGTATGTGTATCTAAGGAATTCTGACTGGTGATGTAAAAATGTAACAACTGGGGCAATATCGAAGTATTCTAATCTCCCCTCTTAAGAGGACCCAACTTCCGATCTGATCTCTTCTAGTATGTGTATCTTATTCTGCCTCTTTTGTAGGTGATTGAGCATGTAGCAGATCCTGCTGGATTCTGCAAATCATTATCAGCGTTGACCATTCCTGGTGGTGCTACAGTGATATCAACGATTAATCGTTCAATGAGAGCATATGCAACGGCAATTGTTGCAGCAGAGTATCTCCTACATTGGGTAAATATATTTAGTGGATCTTCTAAATTGTATTGGTAATTTTTGGTTGATGCCTTGCAAAACTTAAATGATATTTGTGCATGTGAGATTTGCTAGTTCACTTTGAACAAATAGAGGAAGGTGTATGAAAGGTGTGTCTAGATAGTTCTATGTATTGTTATTCTCTCGCACAAATCGAACTTCCAATTTATGTTGGAGCATTTAATTTGATTCAAATTTGATTATGCTTCAAAGTATTCCAATTACGTTTTGAGGACTCATTTTGCTCTATTTGTTAGGATTCATCTCGATGATATATACTAGCATTATCTGTACATAATAGCAGCCATGTCAAAAGGCAATTTTCTACTAATTGTTGTGTTCTTGTCAGCCATGCTTCCTATGTCTCTGTGTGTGTGTTTCTTGCATTTCTTTTTGGAGGGTTGTACAATTGCAAATTGCTAATGTTATAACTGGACTTTACAGCTTCCAAAAGGTACACATCAATGGTCAAGCTTTCTAACCCCAGAAGAACTAGTCCTCATTCTTCAGCGCGCTTCTATATCGGCAAGTGGATTAAACATGCTTCTCTGTTTTTCACCTGTATCTTAATCAAGTCAATATCTATCTGTTTGCGCCCATTTGAAACAGTAATCTTTCTGCATTTTACAGGTGCAAGAGATGGCTGGATTTGTGTACAACCCTTTGACGGGTCGCTGGTCCTTGTCCGATGACATCAGTGTTAATTTCATCGCTTTCGGAACAAAATCAGCCAAGAAGGATGAAACTCTAGATTAAGTTACGATATAGCTGTCAATTTTATTCTGCTGTTAATCTCTTAACCCATTCTGTATGTAATCTCTTTTTCAGTTTTGTTGGATGATGAATGCAATTTCTATATGTTAGAATATGAACATCCACATCACAAGTTCTTAACTTGAATGAAAATGTACCATTTCGAAATTTCAAATACATGTGTATTATCTTTGATTGATAAAATTTGTAACTTCATACACGACTTTCAAAATGCACTAGCGCCAAATTACGCCGAATCGCTAAACGCCACGTAATGGATATATATAACTAGTTGGAGCTAAATAAAGCACTACACGTGCTTAGTCCTCATCATAAATTTTGTTTTCTATATAAACACGAGACACACAATATGCATTTCAAAGATCACAAATAACTGAACCATAGAATTTATTAGTAACACTAATGGAGCGCGGGAAATCTTCAGCTGTTGCTCGAAGTCGGTTATCGGTAATCACAGCTCATCTCGCCGCCGATTACTCCGCCTCCTCCCATGGTCTGGAAACTTCCTCTGTATCTGCACCAACCGCTGCCGTGTCGCCGCCGCCTAATCTGAAAGGCGCCTTGACAATCATTGATGAGAGGACCGGTAAGAAGTATCAGGTTCCGGTTACCGAGGAAGGAACTGTTAAAGCTACCGACTTTAAGAAAGTAAGCTTCTATGCTTGTTTGCGTCGTGTAGTTAGTACTATTTGTTTTGATTATTATTTTATTTTTTTTATATATACTGTAATTGTTATTTGTTATATAGATATCTACTGGATACAATGATAAGGGTCTCAAGCTTTATGATCCGGGCTATCTCAACACTGCACCCGTTCGTTCATCAATATGTTACATAGATGGTGATGCAGGGATTCTCAGGTATCGAGGTTACCCGATTGAAGAGTTGGCTGAGAGAAGTTCCTTCTTAGAAGTGGCTTATCTTTTAAGTAAGTGTTAATAATGAAATTTACTTCATCAGATTCTTAAGCCTCACTTCTAATGCATCATTGGATTTCTTCAACTGCTTTTTGTAAATACCAGTCAATGTTCTTGTTATCTTGAAATGAGTTCGTTGCTCTGAAGGTTCTGCTTCAGAAGCTGGTTTATGTTACTTCACAGTTTTGATTCATAAGATGGTTCATATTTTATCAATGGCGTTACGTGAATTATGCAGTGTATGGTAATTTACCATCTGAGAACCAATTATCAGACTGGGAGTTTGCAGTTTCACATCATTCAGCAGTTCCTCAGGGAGTTTTGGTACGATCATATCTTAATTTTCGAAGAAAGCTTTATTTTGTGTGTTCCACTCTCAAGCGCTATTCATTATCTTAGGAGACAGGCTACAACCTCTTTGTTGTGCATTTCTCACTATACTTATCTTAAAAAGTGTTGCCCCTTGACGCATGAAGCTTCTGAAAAACAAGGGCATGTACATATAAGACATGCTTGTCTATTCGCCCCATCTGGTAGCTTGCTGATTTCAAGCATTGTTGTTCCAGGCGAGTCAAGTGGCTAAAATAGATTATTTCACACCTTTGTCCATCTGAACCTAGCTCTAGAGAGCATGATTATTTTGCTATATATGAACTGGAATGTGATGTTATGCTTATATATTTTTCTATATATGAACTGGAATGTTAGCATTATGAGATATTATGCTTATATATTTTTCCAGATGTTCAGACCACATTTCATGTGTTTCCGTGCGGATCATTTCGATGCGAGTGGTTTTGAGTGTAGCTGAGATAATTGTGTGATCTTGTGTTGCAGGATATCATACAGTCAATGCCTCATGATGCTCACCCGATGGGTGTTCTTGTTAGTGCTATGAGCACCCTATCTGTCTTTCATCCTGATGCCAATCCAGCTCTTAGGGTAAGCAAATTTTGAAGTTCCCAACTTTTGATCCCTTCTTTGCCCCTCTTATGTGATGATGCTGTATTACACCGGCACATTCCGCATATCTCAGGGGACAATATATTTGTTTGAGCAAAATCTTTTTTTTTTTGCTTCATGTGTTCATTGCATTGGATGTTCTTTTTAGTGCTATAGTGCTTTTTCTGTATTTCATTATGATGCCAATCCAGTTCTTAGTGCTATAGTGCTTTTTCTGTATTTCATTATGATGCCAATCCAGTTCTTAGGGTAAGTAAAATTTTGAAGCCCCATGCTTTTGTACCGCCTTTTCCTCTTTATTGTGATGTTGTATTTCAGTGGCTTATTCCGCATATATGTGAATCTGCAGGCGATGCATTTGCTTGAGCAAAATATGTTTTTGCTTTACATATATTCATTGCATTGAATGTTCCTTCTCCTCGTTTTGATTTGTTAGGATAACTTTTATTGGTTCTATTGAATGTTTAAAATAAGGAAGGTGAAGCCATATCCTGTAGACAAATGATCATTTTCCATATGATAGTTTAATTTGCTCCTTCTTAGCCCCTTGACCGTCCTTTCTTAATGACGGTCTTACTCTTTGGTAAATTTCTGTTTCTTATGACACAGTTTGACACTAGTGATCTCTTCTTGTCCTGCCTCTTGTTTGGCCAGACACGTAAGGTTCTTTACAAATAGGAGACTGAAACAGTCTTTTTTTCCTGTTCAATTCTTATCTATGGCTTCAATTACTTCTGCTGACCTTCTTAGGGGTCCATTTTCATGGAACAAAGGGTGGTGGGGACCGGGTGTTGAGATTCTTTTTTAGCCCTGAACTTGTCGTTAAGACGCTATGATTCTCAACTATGGTGGAGGGGGACAAATTGATTAGTGCTACAGATACTGGTTCATCACAACTAAGGGTGCGATGGAGAACAAGTTGACTCTGGTTCAGCATTTGCTCTTATTTTGTTGCATGAGTTGGACTTATCTCGAAGTAGAGTCTATAGATAAATTCGGTTTAGCACTTTGTCTTTGCTTGGTGACCAATAATAGGCAGGCACCAAGCATTGGAATTACAAGCTTTCCTACTACTGCGATTACGTATCACGGTCTGCTATAAACCCGGCTTCGCAACCTGAAGGATGGCTTGCCAAAGTCAGTCTAAGCAGTAAATTGGATCATAGTAGCAGACTTTTCCTGACAGACATGGGCTCTGGTGGCACACTCTGTCCAATACACCCTCAGATTTCGGTCTACTCTACTAACAGATTTACATGCTTTGTTATGTAAGAAACATCGGAAATTATTTTAGTTGCAACTAGCTAACTTGATAAAATTTGTCACATCAAGCAGCACTTGCCTAGTGCTTCTTTACTCCGTCTAAGAGATCAGGCTTTTCATTCATTCAAGAGAGAAGAAGAAGAGCAGAAGTGTGTAGCAAACAATCATTTTATTAATGCTAAAAGATGTAAAAGCTCTTAAGATAAAGATTCTTAATTTTTGAAATATCTACTAACTATTGGTCCTACTCCTAAAGTTTAAGACCAACCTAAGAATAAAAAATATTAGGCTTAAGTTATCGACAGCCCTTTAAAGTTATTCGCATAATTCACTTAGACATCTCAACTAAGTCTATTACCTATTAGACACTTTAATATTAAAGAATATGTATTCATTGAACATATAACAAAAACTCTCTTTAAAATTATTTTGCGTGTAATTCACGCGCATCATCTTAAAATAATGACAAATAAAATTATGACACATTGCACATGGTTCCAGTCTAGCAATAAAATATAATTTTTTATTTTAAAAAATGAAAAATATTTTTCAGCCTTTACTTATTAATCACAAAAATATTTAAAAAGAAAATCTCCCCCACCCCCACCTAACCCTTTACCTTTCTTCTTCCTTTTATCATGTGAACCCTGCAGCCACCATGAATTCCTCTCTTGTTAACTAAGATAACAAAAGTAAAAATCCCCCCCTCAAATTCATTCTTCTAGATCGGTTATTCTCGTGAGGAAGAAAGATTGGAAGTATGTTGAATTTTTTAATATCATCTTTAATAAGTTCAATGCGTGGAGATGTTTGTTCAATCGGAGTGATCGGAATAGAGATGGACGAATATCGATCAATTTTTAACTCCAGTGTTCAAAATTTTTCTTCTTTCTCACATATTAAATTAGCAAATTTTTTTCACAAAAAATAAAGAAAAAAAAAGAATGAAAAAAAATGCTAAGAATTTAATATCATTAAAATAGTGGAGAAAGAAGATGACCGTTAATCCATGGCTATGGGTGTGGGTGTGGGTGTGTGGTGCGGTTGGTATGAAGAGATAAATGTGAAACTAATATTATTTTTTAATTATTTAGTTAAATGTATGTCAGCAGTGAAAAAAATAGGTACCATTTAATAAAAAATAAAATTTTGCTCTATTCATGCGTTAAGTAGCAGTGACACGCACTTGTTTCGTCACATTAGCGTTTTGTGTTTAATTGAAAGATATTTTGAAAAATTTAGGTGTTCAATAGGTGTATGTCCTAGTTGAGGTGTCTAAATGAATTATGCAGACAATTGTAAGGGGCTGTCGATAATTTCAGCCAAAATATTATCTTACATGACCATCATTTTAGAAGTAGTAAAGCCCTATTTTGTCCAAAAATAGTAAATCTTTATCTGGGCATGCAATTAATATATGACACTCCATTCAAAAAAGGTCCACTAACATGTGAAGCAGTCTAACAACAACTCACTAACAAAACAATAAACATGTAAAACTATATGTTGTTGGCATGTCACAGCACGAGCAAGCAGGTGTGTGAGCAGCTTGTAGGCACTAGCAAATATGCGGGTAAGCTTCTTTTAAGCATCTTGCAAGCAAGCGAGTATGTTGTTGTTCTGCAAGCAAGCTTCTTTTAAGCATCTTGCAAGCAAGCGAGTATGTTGTTGTTCTGCAAGCAAGTGGTAAATCACTTGTAGGCATTTCTGCAAGTAGGTGGATAAGCAACCTGTGGGAAGATCTGTAAGTAAGTGGATAAGCACCTGTGGGAAGATGGATAGACAAACTAAACTAGGAAGATTTATGGCGGACTTGCACATGTCATCAAGATTATTCGACTGTACGATGTTGAAGATCTTGATAGCAGGCTTGCGTACCCTTCCTCCATTCACCAGTCCACTCCATGTCTGGTGTGGGATCTAAGAAGGTTGATAGAAGGTTTCTTTTCTTGCTCTGTTAAAAATCTTTTGGAGGATTCCTCTTTCATCTAGCCCGATAGGGAAATCCATACTAGACATGGTCTTGGATGGAAGAACGATACGCAAGCCGTCCGTCAAGACCCTCAACAATGTGTAATCTAATAATGCCTGATGACATGTGTAAGAAAGTACCCATTTACCTCTACCTCCATAAAATCTTCCTAGTTAAATGTGCCTACCGTCTTCCTACAAGTTATTTGTGCCTACAAGTAGCTTACCACCTGCTTGTAGAACAACAACAAACTGGTCTGCTTATAAGTTGCCTATAAGGTGCTCACCCACCTACTTGCACATGATGTCCCATGCCAACAACATATTTAGTTTTACGTGTATTTTGTTTTGTTAGGCTTCTTCACATGTTAGTGGGGGTCTGTTTGAACAATAAAGTTTGTCATGTATTTAGTTTTATTGGGATAGAAGAGTTGTAGCCAGGTTAGGAATTTACTATTTTTAGACTGGATAGGGGTTTACTATTGGTGGACCATGGAAGACTTAGGTCTGTCTATATTATCTTCCCTACATAAAGGAGGCCAAGCAATAGTTAGTTAGGGATGACAATGGGGAGCGGTGAGGGCGGGGCGAGATTTTCCTAATGCGGGTTAGGGCGGATTTTACTTTATGCGGGTGGGTTGAAAATTTTTCAAAGGAATTTAATGCGGGTGTGGGGCGGGTTCCTCCCTCCACATTTTGGAGCAAAACAGAGTTGCATTATTTTGCCCTTCAACAATTTTACAATTAACGATCTTCACAGTTTTACAACTTGATTATTATTTTTTTTTTCATCGGGTTGAAATTAAATTTTCTTTTCATTTCAATATTTATGTACCTCACATGGTTGAAATGATATACTAATATTAGTGGAAAACAACAAATATTTCTTTTATATAAAAACAACAGGTAAAATTCAAGATAGTGAATTTTCTTTTTTGTTCCTCGTTTCTTCCTGTCAAGTTCTGGGTTCATAAGCACCCTTTAACTTTGTACAAGTCATATAAATATAATTACAATAAATGTTGAAGTAGTATAATGATCAGAGGAATTGACAAAAAAAAAAGAAAGATAAAAATGACAAAATAAAAAAGAGAGAAAAAATTGCAATATGATACTTCTTCGTGATAATGAAAAAGAATTATGTGGGGTGGGTCCGTGGGGGGTTTATGTTGGGCGGGTTAAAACTAGAATATTTTATTATGTGGGGTGGGGCGGGGTGGGGCGGGTTGGAATGTTTGCCGTTTACGTGGGTTTGCCTCGCAACTGCCCTGCCCCAGTCCGCTCCGTTTGCCATCCCTATAATTAGTAGAGATATTAAAAATTAGGATGTTTTTATCTTATAGCTCGTATATTGTTTAGTGTGATGAATAAAATGATTGCTGGCTAAATACTTCTCTCTTGAAGGGATGGAAAGTCCACTCCCGTAGTCGGATAAGGAAACACTAGTGAGTGTGCTTGTTGTGATTTCAATGGTGTTGTTCCATGTCCCTCTCCCGCTGCGACTCTGATCATGTGTGTTTATGTTGATGCAGGGCCAAGATATATACAATTCAAAACAAGTGAGGGATAAACAAATAGTTCGCATCCTTGGAAAGGTTATTTCTATTAGCTTTTCACTCAACTGTCTTTGATTGCTTAAACTGCTGAAATAGTCAAATTATGAACTCATGTTCCTTTTTGATGTGTACAGCCTTGACTGTTATCTACAATCATTGCACTAATCCATCCTCTTATTAACTGAATTTTGGCAGGCACCTGTAATTGCTGCAGCTGCCTACTTGAGGATGGCTGGAAGACCACCTGTCCTTCCGTCCAACAACCTTTCTTATGCAGAGAACTTCTTGTACATGCTAGATTCATTGTAAGTTCTATTTCTTAACTTAATTCTCTCTGATATCAAGCTCCAGCTAGAAAGAAAATTTAAGCGATGCCTAAATTGGATAAAAGCAATTATTGTTCCCCCTTTACCCAGGGAGATGTATGACACTAGTGGTCCGTAACATACTTGTTTATTGATATAAGATCTAGCTGGCAAGTTAACAACTTGTTCCATGAACATGCAGAGGTAATAGGTCTTACAAACCGAACCCTCGACTTGCTCGTGTAGTGGACATTCTCTTTATTTTACACGCGGAGCATGAAATGAATTGCTCAACCGCAGCTGCTCGTCATCTTGCATCAAGGTAGGCATTTTCTCGCACTATCAAAAAGCTGAGAAGTTTTAGTCTCCATTGACACCCTTATGTTTGTGCAGCGGTGTTGATGTGTACACAGCTATAGCTGGAGCGGTTGGTGCTTTGTATGGCCCCCTTCATGGAGGTGCAAATGAGGTACAACGTTGATGTACTAAGACAATGAAATTTTCTTTAAACGAGCTTTCAAATATAATGAACACTCTCTCCCCGTCACAAAATCACTTACTGGTTGTAGCACCATATCATGCTGTTTTTAAATGGTTTGTAGGCCGTGCTCAGGATGCTAAGCGAGATTGCAAGTATTGACAATATTCCAGAGTTCATTGAGGGCGTGAAAAACAGGTGCATCATTTTCTAGTAGTCATCTTTAACATAAAGAAAATGGTCTATTCATATTTAACCATTTCTACTCCTTTTTGCTTTTCCTATCGTCTAGGAAGCGTAAGATGTCTGGTTTTGGGCACCGTGTCTACAAAAATTATGATCCTAGAGCTAAAGTGATTAAGAAGCTAGCAGAAGAAGTATTTTCCATTGTTGGTCGCGATCCTTTAATTGAGGTGAGCCTTACTCGTCTCCGTGTGGATATCATGCTTTCAAAAGTTCAATCTGCTATTTCACATATCTTATATAGTGTCTCTCATATTATCTTCAGGTTGCTGTTGCTCTGGAAAAAGCTGCACTCTCAGATGAGTACTTTGTAGAAAGGAAGTTGTACCCGAATGTCGATTTCTACTCTGGTTTAATCTACAGGTAAGAATGACTTCACATGAATTTTAAAATGACCAAGTCTAGAATGATCTTAGACTTTACAGTAATACATAGCTGTGTAACAGGGCAATAGGATTTCCCACGGAGTTCTTTCCAGTTTTATTTGCAATCCCTCGCATGGCTGGCTACTTAGCGCATTGGCGTGAGTCCCTTGACGATCCTGATACCAAGATAATGAGACCAGCACAGGTAATGTATAACTTGGTCCCTTTTGCCTATATATCATAGGTAATTCTGTTTAGATGATATTCATTCTCTCCTTTCAGGTGTACACTGGTGTATGGTTGCGTCACTATGTGCCTCTCCGAGGTCGATCACCTTCAACCGAGACGGATAAGTTCGGTCAGGTATCAGTCTCCAACGCCACCAGGCGGAGGTTAGCTGGTTCGGGTGATTAGACTTGGTTCGTAGTTTCAGACGTTACATCAGGAAAATGTAGATGAATAGAACATCAAGCTCTTGTTTAGGTTTACCACCAATGGAGATGCTCTGTTTTCTTCTTAAGCTTGCATGTAATAATAATAATGTACTCAGAATTCAAATTTTCTGATGTTCGGTTAGAATTTTGAATTATGGGTTGTACTTTATTTTTGAAATGTACGAATTGGAAATGAAATTCAGTACAATGAATTTACGAATATATGAAAATTTGAAAATTTTTATAATGTATATTCAATTCTACTAGTACCAAGTGTATGAAACACAAAATTTAATTTTTAAGTATTCTATAGTTTTAGTCGTTGTAGTATTAAGTTTGATATGGACCATACAACATGGAGTATGTGATGATATTTCTATTAACGGAACAAGTTATTAGGTGAAATGGAACTGTTAAAATATTGGGGCTTCCAATGCAACATACCAGCGAAAAAAGTATAAATTCAACTATAGACGATTGTTATTGTATAAATAATATTTGTATAATGCATAATTATGTAACACACGTAATATAATCGTTATTGTATAAATAATATTTGTATAATGCATAATTATATAACAACACGCAATATATTGTCATCGTAAGTATAATGTAATAATGTCCAAAAATGGATTATATTTGTATCATTATCTAATAGACCAATATATTATAACATCCAAAGCGTTGTTTACAAAACCGAATATCCACCTTAACAACAAATCCAAGAGCACTATTTGCAGAATCATGGATTGAACATAATGTTAAGTATGATATACGGAGCACGCCAAACGTTTTACGAAAATTGCAGAGTTGCACTTTCAGGCGTTTTATAGAATTTACACAACTGCGCTTTCATGTAGCGGAAGACACACCGCTCAGCATTTCCTTTCAACAGCCAGCTTTGATACATAAAATGCCAGCCTAACTTCTCTCCTACCGGCTAGTAAATTTCGATCTTGCTGACGAAGCCATGGGGGAGGAACCAAGCCTAGTTGTGGTATCAGGATATGTGGAGGGAACACGCCTCGCTGCGGTGTCAGGATAGGTGGAGGAACCACGCCTAGCTGCAGCGTCAGGATATGTGGAGGAACCATGCCTAGCTGCGGTGTCATGATATGTGGAGGAACCACGCCTAGCTGCGCTGTCAGGATATGTGGAGGAACCACGCTTAGCTGCGGTGTCAGGATATGTGGAGGAACCACGCCTAGCTGTGGTGTCAGGCTCATATCCTCTGCCTCTTTCTTGAGAAGAAACAAAACTACCTGGTTTCTTAATAGAAGAAACTTGGCTGGGAACAAAAGAGAAGATAAGATAAGAATAAAATGGATTATGGTCAAGTATAAACAGCTGCAAGTATGTCTTTACCTATGATTTCTTTGCACAGACTTATTCTTCATAGCAGCTAAATTCTTTACTTCTCGACTGTGAGAAACAACACAAGAGAGAGTGATCAATATGAAAATAGAAAATAGCGCAGATAACACAAGAAATATAATACAGAGACAGCTGTTTTCTTTAGTTAGTAGAACTAGCATTGTTAAAATATCTTAGCACAATTTTCCAATCAAACAGAATATACCAAGAATCCACATTCGATCTATGCCCATGAAGGTAGTGACAGTTGAGGACAGGTTTAACAACACAAGCACAAACACTGGGAAAGACCATCCAGTACGGAGTGGGGAACAGAGAGCTTTTGCATGAATAAAATAATGTTTAAGCCATGTAATTGTTCTAATGGAGGCCAAACTTACCTGTTGACAAACTCTATTTTTGCCTTCTTCATCAACGGACTCTTTGTGTTCCCAAAATTGCTACCAAGTCCACTACCTACAAGTTAACTTCTTATTCAGGAACAAAAATACCTCGCATTCTAAATTAACATAATATGTTTAGTTTGACAGGAAAAGGTATATAAAGAAAACATGAAGCTTACCATAAAAGCTTCTTTTATTGCTAGAAGGGGGAACCTTTGTGCAGACTTGAACTTGTCGGCTTTGCCGTTCTACACACAAATAAAAAAGATTAAATATCAATAGTAATGGTAACTCACAACATATTTCCATAAAAAGAGAAATTAAACAAGTTTCAAGAACTAGATAAAGTCAAGTATGATCATGACGACACAACAACATACTCAAGGTAATCCATAAGTGGGGTGTGGAGTGGGTAGTGTGTAACCAGGTCTTACCCTTACCTCGGAAGGTAGAGAGGTTACAATAGACCCTCGGCTCAAGAAAAAACATATCTACAACCTATCACCATAAAAGACCAAATAAAATTTTCTGAGCAGGATTTTTGGAACTCCCTAGCTGATCTGAATTCTGTAACACACTCTTACAAGTCCCAACATAGTTCTTTAAGAGGTAATTGGAAAATTTCCCATTGTTGTTAAAGGAAACAGGCTAATTAGTCAAGATCAACATCTGAATATATATGACAGCTTATTATGGCCTCAACTAAAACTAGAGGATGGTACCACACTGGGAATACAAATTAAAGAACAAAGAAACAGAAGTAAAGCACATACTGGCATTTTCGTTTTGGTACAATTCCTTGATTCTTTCAAATGATCTTTGTTGAGTTTCCTCCATTTCCTGTGTCTTCGCCTGCAAGTAAATTGATATACCCTTTTGTAATGTCGAATGATTTGGTAACAACAATAAGAGGAAGATGTGATTCAATACTAAACATATATCATAAATCATAATAAGGGAGTAAAAACAAAATATGATATGATAAATCACCTCATATAACTGTTTCCATTTAAATGTTACTTTCACTTGCTTCATTCGCTCAACCACCTGATTGATGCTCTTGTCACCAAACTCAATCTGGTAAAACCTCTTCCAAAGTCTATCAGTCACTTGACTGAGATCTCTTCCCTGAAGAAGAATTTGAGCATTACAAATGGACTTGATATGTAACACTGCAAGAGGATAACCTAATCATAGAGTTTCTTACTTCTGTCGAATTCTCCACATGTGTCAATTGTTCAAGAGAACAGTGAGGCAAAATGCGCTCTAGTAGATAAGTGTCTGTTTCACCCACATCCCCAAGGTACCTCAAATTATCTACTGCTGTCCGAACACATAAATCTACCAGCGAAGGAACCTTACACCTCATTGTAAAACGCCTTTTATGTCTCAGTACGTGCTTCAATCTATTCTGGCCAGCTCACACCTTCATATGAAAAAGTTAATCAGCAGAAGAAAGAAAATCCAGACGTAAAAGTCCAGATTTAGAAGTATTTAGTACATTCAATACTAAACCAGGTAAACAATAGCTTCCTGCTGTCTATCAGCTAACCTTCTGTATGTTTCCTGTTGAATTTCAAGAAATTACTCCTTGAACAGATACAGTTGAATTTCTTGTTTTCACATTTATCATTTTTGAACATTTACAATTGATGCTTGTGTATAGCATATCATATATCATATACCATATATCATACTCAAAGTAGGAAGCTCAAGTTGGATTTCTTCCCTCCACAACAACAAAATCAGACTAAATATCTAATAAAATAATAAATATTTTAATTACACATTGTTAGAATTTGAAGTCCAACATGTAACAGCCCAACCTGCTAGTGATACCATTTTCGGCCTAGGGCCGCATGACTTTAGGACGTGTCACTAGGGTGTAAGACCTGCTTACCTTACTTATATACTCAAAATCTCTCCTTTGTTTTGCCGATGTGGGACTTCTTATACTAAGCTGGGATGTCACACAACACTTTAATTCTTTACAAGTTATGACATTTTAAATTTCCTTACCTTTTAGATGAAGTCCAGTAGTCATCTGATTAAGTTTTATTTTCTTGATTTTCTCCTTTCATTCATTCCATCCATTCACTATATTTAAAGCCCACAATCTTCATGTTAAATTAAAAAGGGAACTGCCCATTTGTTTTTCCTGAGCAAATCCCAAATGGCAACAATTTAATCCACACATTAATAACTTATTTAAAGCATATAATTGAATTTTTCAAGCAACAGATGAATATAAAGGTTAAGGGTCAAGACAATAAATAATACTAATTTTTTAATTGAAGTGATGTATGCTCTTCCGATTGAATATAAGGATGTTCAAAAGTCTTGCTCCATAACTATCAAAAAATGTCATATCCTCTAAAATAATTTGTTCCCTTACACCTATAGAAAAATTCCAAAAACGCAGGGGTTATTTTCTTGTGATTTTTGTTTTAAATAAGACCAATCTAATTCATAATCATATATCAGTTTAGGTGTATTTTGGCAATCAGTCTTGCCATTTGCAAAGGACGGGAAGAATAAAAGTAAAGGGAAGAGAAAGAAATGTCATTTCTGTAGAAGAAGTATAACTATCAGGTTCTGAACAAGTGCGAGTTGTAAGAAATAATTTTTATTCTTGTTTTGGATTGCTTTAGAGAAAGGTTTGATCTTTTATTTTCTTAAAGTTCAAATGAAGATTGATTTACAAATTTCTAATAAAAAAAAAGAAGCTACTTTCCTATTGAATTAAGAGGCTGTTAGAAAATGGACTCACAAATGATTTGTGTAAATTTCAGGAATCTAATTCAAGATTTACCTGAACAAGGATTTGTTCTGGAAAGCAGACCGACCAATGGAAATTGAGATAGAGAGTTGGAGGCGGCTGAGCTAGAAATAGCTTAATTAGGTTTGAACCAAATGTAACTATCAATTTCCTCTTCTTTTCATCACTCTCCTATCATGAGCAATGCTTCAATTTAGTGTCAGACAACATTTAATTTTGATGCTTGAGCATCTATCTAATTATGATCAATAGTCTAGAATGTCTATCACTTTCAACACAATTTTCACTAGGATGTCTATAACCATTAGAGTTGCAACAAGGACAACATTGAATTATTTTTGTTTTATTACTCTAGAATTCACATTGGCTTATTTCGAGCTGGATTCTCAAATTGTTAAACAAACTACCACATTCATGAAATCTTTGCTTTACTTATGCTGTGACATAACATGTTTCAATCATCTTATGTAATTATGTAAATTACTTAATCTCTCGAAATACACGTGCAACACACATGTCCGATGACTAGTTGCTTTATACATAATTCCATGCTTTATACATAATTCCACGGAAAAATGACTAAATCTCTCGAAATCCACGTGCAACATACATGTCCGATAACTAGTTGCTTAATACACAACTCCACACAACAATTACTAAATCTCTCGAAATAGACGTGTAACACACGAGTCCGATACCTAGTTGCTTAATAAACAATTCCACGCAACAATTACTAAATCTCTCGAAATCTACGTGCAACACACATGTCCGATACCTAGTTGCTTAATACAAAATTCCACACAATAATTACTAAATCTCTCAAAATCTACGTGCAACACACGTGTCCGATAACTAGTTGCTTAATACACAATTCCACGCAACAATTACTAAATCTCTTGAAATATACGTGCAGCACACGTGTCCAATAACTAGTTGCTTAACACATAATTCCACACAAGTTCAAACTTCTACAACTATCAACAATGTAATAACACTTCAAAAAAAAATCAACTGTACAGTGGTATTGCTTTAAGAAAAGTAGTGAATAAAATTTCAGAAATTTATAGTTCATGGATTATGCATCACATTGATTAGGTAGAAAACAACACGAAAGAAAATTATGAATTCAATTACAATTAACAATAAAAATCCATTGGATCGTTGAATTCACAAAACTGTCGGCCTTGGCAATGAAAATTAACGGGAATTAAACATAAGAAAATTCACATACATGAAAATTATGTACCACATGAGAATTTAAACCGTAAATAGAAGCAAAAAGAGAATTGAACCTCACCGGAATGTGATCGGAGCTGGAATTCGCCTGACCGACGCCGATGATCAAATATCTGAAAAATAATAATTGAATTTGTAGGGGAAGGGATAAAGGAACTTGAATTCCGATCGAGTTTAAAAACTGCAACGCATCGGAAGATTCATCGGAAACACAAAAAATTAAAAATCGATCGATTGATGGAAGACGGCGAACAGAGGTTTGTTATATCCCAAAAAGACTATCGGAAGCGTTTCAGCGCGTGCTTGTACGCGCAGTTGTCGGCAGGCTAATATTGGGCCTTCAAATTTGGATTAGAATGTAAGGGCCCAGTTCAGAAAGTAGTCTCCTTTTCGGTTTTGGAAAGAAAAGAACTATTCCCTCCGTTCCATTTTATACTTGGAAAATTATACGATTAAGCAAATGTATACGGACTAATTAATCATTATAATTAGAGTTTATTTTAATTATCACTCGCCATGAATTATTGATTATGATTAATTACGTTGTTTACTTTTGCTGTTTGTATAAGCGTGTATATGTCCCTTTCCATATATATAAATGATTCCTTCTCTTTCTTTATAACTAGAAAAATTACTCACACTTTTTGCCTCTTACACTTGGTGTTCGTTGTCGAATTGGACGCTTAACTCCCGCCACCTACGGGGGAAGGGCCCGTTTGGATGGGCTTAATAAAACTTATTTTTAAAATAAGCAGTTATGCGTTTGGATAAAAGTGCTAAAGTTGTTAAGAAAGAGATGTTAGGGTTATATGGGTAATTTGAAGATTGTATAAAAATATTAAAGGAAAAAACATAAAAATGTGGTCAACTTAAAACAGCTTATAAGCTAAAAAAAAAACACCCCTACCCCAACTTTTAACTTTTGGCTTAAAATAAGTTTTTTTAAACTTAAAATAAGCTATTTTGAGTATTGCCAAACAGTTAAATAAGTCAAAAACCAGCTTTTAAGTCAGTTTGACCAGCTTTTAAGCTGAGCTAAACAGGCTCGAAGTCACACTTTAACTTCCTGCCTTGACCTAGGCCTCACATGGATCGTTCTGTCCGATGAACTCATCAATCAACATTGACCTTGACTCTCACTACGTACTCCACTTCGCACAGGAATTTTATATCACAGAATTTATAAATAATATTTAAAATCTATCAGACATTAAAATTATAGCCCTATATCATCTTACATATAAGATTACGTAGTAATAAATATTTATAATATAAAGGAAAATACAAATTATTAGACTTTATCATTTATACTTAATAACATTAGCATAAATTAATAAATGTAAAAATACATATCATGGTATGTAACATAAACAATGGTGACAGTGAGTCACTCAACAGGAGCAACGTACACAAATGTTTACTTGTGAAGGAGAAAAACTTCAAATTTTTTGTCGCTTTAAAATGAGAGGAAATTCCTCTATTTATAGGTAACAAAGGATAGTGTTAACAAATGTTTATTGTGTCTTATCGGAAATGTAACATTTATTTGGAAAAGTAGCAATCCATTGAAATGGTCACAACTTTTCATAAAATTTACAACTTTTAATAAAAATCGCAAATCTTCATTAAAGTCACAACTTTTCATATAAGTCACAACTCTTCATTAAAGTCGCAACTTTTCCTAAAGGTCACAACTTTTCATGAAAGGAGAATGCTAGTTTTGCAAATGAATAAATTAAAAGAAAATTCTTGTTTGTGACGGCACCACAAAGTGGGCCTAAGGTTCACTTTTATGCTTTTATGTGATCCTTTACCTTATTTTCTCCTTAAATCTTTCGAACACAAAAAATTTGTAAATTTCAATTTTTTCCTCTCAAATTGCTTCCTGATTTTCAGGGCAAATTGTTATGCAGTTAAATTTCTTTTTTTTTTGGTGATTTTATCTTATCTTTTTTATTTGTATTTGTTTATGACTGAAATTTTATATGAATTTTTAGATTTATAATTAGATACAATTAAAATTATGAATGAAGAGACATCCAAAATAGCTTTGAAAGATATCATGACAAATATATAAGTATAAATAAGTTGTGAATTATACATATTATATTTAATTACAAATCAATAGTCACTATTCCTTTTATACAATTACATACAAAAATAGCTCATTGATACAAACGGTAACTTCACATAATAAACACTTATCAATCAATTATACATATAGAGATACTAATTCCACAAAAGAATAGAATATTTGAATTATACATATACATAATATACAAATAAATTGATTATTAGTGTCACTATTCATTTATACGATTAAAAATTTAAATAACTAATTTATACAAACTCCAATTCCACATAAACTACAATCATCAATGAATTATACATATACAAACAACAATTCCACCAAAAATAATAAAAAACTATACATATACAAAATATACTAATAAAAACCACCTTTGAAGAACCTGATTATACAATTACGTACGGAAATAATCAGTTTATACCAACACTAATTCCACATAAACTATAGTCATCGACCAATTATATATATACAACACTAATTCCACCAAAAAAAAAATACAGATCTATACATGTACAAAAATATTAATACAAACCATCTTCGAAGAATCTATTTTTTCAATGTACGTAAATAACTAATTTATACCAACACTAATTTCACATGACAATAACCATCAATGATTTGAATCAATCAATAATAATTTATACAATAACAAATAGAAATCAATTTATACATTAACGAAAGGAAGGAAAGTCATATTTGATATGAAAGTCTAAAGAGATACTGTTTCATGAATTAAGCGATTGTTTACCTACTTTTTTCAATCGAAATTACTATCATCATCTTTTAAAAAGTATAATTTCTTTTGTATAAAATAATAGTGAATTATACAAATGCACTTGTCTATAATCATTAAAATTGTAGCTACGGACTGTAAACATGTAAAATATCGCTAAGGAGCCTAATTAAGTTTATTCTTGTGGCTATATTTGAAATTTTCCCTATTATATGTCATCTCTTTCTATAAATAGCTGGAACACAATATTTGTCATATTATAAATTTTATGCATAGATTACCATATTTTATCAATTATACCCTTGATAGAATAGTTAATTAATCTTGTGTATTCATCATTTATTCTAAAGTTAACTTAAGAAAACATTAAATAAGGATAGAAGGTAAAGTTACATTTTTTGTTAATGCAAGTGCAAAGTAAAAAGGTGACACAATAAATGGGACAAAAGGAAGTAATTACTTAGATACGCTCTACTTCGCAATAACACGAATTTTACAAGTTTGTTGGTGTGTTCACGTACGTTTTTGTATATGTATCTTTGTATAAATGATCAAAATTAGGTGTAATTTGTTATAGATACATTATATCCAAGTGGATTCGCATATACATGTGATACCTTTTGTTTTTAGTTTTCTGCAATGCAATGTATTTTATTTTATCCTTTTTTTTGTCGTGCAAATGGGGTTGAAGTAAAAAAAGAAAAAAGAGTACGCATACTTTGTGTAAAGTGATCCCAGTGAGTCAAGGTTTATATAAAGTGAACTTTATTAAATTATTGTTGCTATCAGTCGATTTTTATGCGTCTCGATTAATTATATGAGATATTTATCGTCCTCCATCAGCAACATGTAATTTTGTCTACCAAAATTAGCACAAATACAAAAAATCACTAGTATTTTTTTTATTTTCGCTAACTTTCTAATATGAACACTGTTAGGCCAGGTCGGTCAATGATATTTTTAATATGATATGATATTATTCATTGGACTAAATTCATATAATTCCTGTCAAATTATTGACTTACATACAAATTGCTACGTTAAATTGATATAAAAACTCTAAGATAGAGTGATTTGTCCGTTTAAATCAACCCCATATTATATTTTCTCAAGTACCGTTATGTCATTATGTTTTGCTACACTAAAATAACTCAAAGATATTCTTAATACGATGTGATTTTATCTGCTTTAGTTCAAGCTTACACAATTTTTCATTTTAAGTTCTCACATTATATATTACTATATATGCAACTTTCTTTTCTTTTTAACTACCAATATCGAATTTTGTTCTCTGTTCACATTTCATTACACACTAAATATCAACTTCATTTCTTGTCACAATAATCTTAATGTTAGTTGTATAAAAGTAGAGAAGGAAGCTCTACTTAATCTCAAGAAAGGTCTTATCGATCCTTCGAGTAAGGCTTTTTTCTTGGATTGGAGAAGAATGTTGTAAATGGGAAGGCATTGTGTGACATAAAAAAACAAGAAATGTAATCAAGATCAAGCTACGTAACACTTTTAATCGCGTTGATGATATAGGTGATGGATATCAAAGTTATGAACTTGGTGGTGAAATTAGTCCTTCTTTGCTTGATTTAAAGTCATTTGAGGTATCTTGATTTGAGTTCAAACAACTTTGGAGGGAATCAAATTCCAAAGTTCTTTGGATCTTTTCGAATATTGAGATACCTTAATCTGTCGAATTCTGGTTTTGATGGACCTGTTCCTCCTCACATTGGAAATCTTTCAAGATTGCATTTTCTTGATCTTAGTAGTTACTCAACTAATGGACCATTTGCTAACAACTTGAAATGGTTCATTAGACTTCAATCTTTGAAGTTTCTTAATTTAGGTAGCGTGGATTTGTCTAAGGTGAAGAACCATTGGCTTCAGTCTGTCGATATGATTCCTTCCCTTCTAGAGTTGCATTTGCCACAATGCATGCTTTCAAATCTTCCGTTGTCTTTTGAGTTCTTCAATCTCTCTTCACTGTTAGTCCTTGATTTCTCGAACAACAGGTTCAGCTCATTATTCCCATCTTGGTTATCTAAGCTTGGAAAACTTGCTTTATCTTGATTTGATCTCGAATGTTCTTCAAGGTACTATTCCAATTGAACTTGCAAACACGACTTCACTCCAGATACTTGACTTATCTAAGGATTCTTTCCTGGAGGGTCAGTTGCGTGAGCAACTGGGAAATCTATGCAACTTGCGAGAATTGGATCTTTCTCTAAACAATTTCACAGGCGATATAATCAAAACTCATTGATGGTCTTTCTAGGTGCAACGAAAGCAAGCTAAAGAGGCTGAACTTGGGATATAATGCTGGATTAGGTGGAATTCTTCCAGATTCTATTGGATCTTGAAAAATCTCAAGTATATTGAGCTAAGGAAGAATTCGTTTGTTGGTATGATCCCCGATTCAATTGGAAATTTGTCATCATTGGAGGATTTGATCCTTGTATGGAACCAAATGAGTGGACAAATTCCAGTCACTTTAGGGAAACTTTCAAAGTTGGTTGTCAGACCTTTTTGAAAATAATTGGTGGGGGTGTCATCACAGAAG